GCTTGTTCCTCCGGGACTCCAGTGAGTTGCATTTAACCATAGCATTGAGATCAAGGTCTAATTCTTTGGCTCGGCACCTCTGGATTCAGAGACTATAAACTAAAAAAAAAAAAAAAAAAAAAGATGTAAATATGCTTTGCACAAACCCAACTGACTGATAAGTCAGGAGAAGAACAGCAGAGATATTTCCTTTGTAAAGGAGAACAATTCCTAAGAACTCTGGAATCCTACAGGGCACATCATGCCCAAGTCCTCACTGAATCAGGAAAATAAATATTTTATTTACTGATGTACTTATTTACTTACAATGAAAAAGCCAAAAGAAGTATTTTAACTTTGGAGTTAATCGACTTTGGTATGTATTTTTATAGTGTTCCATGAATTCCCTGACTGGTTTTAACAGAGATAAATGAGAGGAAAGTGTTCTTCACCAGACATGTCAAATTATAACAGTACCATAGACTCCCTGTTCCCCTGAAGTTTTGTAATCACTGACTTTTATAACTTTGCCTTCCTTTTTAGAACTTGTTAGAAGAAAATTATTTGCATCACTTTAATTTTTTAAGTACCACAATCACTTCCCCCTTTTAATTTACCAGAACTAATTTTTTTAATAAGGTCAGTTCCACGCCTGAAGTGTGAAACTTTCATTAGATCCAGCTGCAAAAGCCAATGATAATAAAAATAAATAAAATAAAGAGCAAATCATAAAAAGTTAGGTGTTTTTCCTGTTCTGTGTTTTGTGCTGTTTTACGCACACACACACACACACACACACACACACACACACACACACACACACACACAAAAAAAGAGTGTGTGTCTGGGGGTAGTCCAGAGCTTCTGAGGCATTCCATTTTGTCAGCAACTCCCACTCCCGAACTCCTAGGGCTCTATTATCCTCAGCAGCAGCTTTGATCTCATGATCAGTATCCCAGTCAGTAGCCTGGAGGAGGAGGAGCAGCTTCCAATGAAGGGCTTTCTTGTGAGAATGCATAACATTTGTGTTTATAGCCCAGTGGCCAGTACTTAGTTTTATTTCCAAGATAAAACTGAAGATAAATCTGTATGTCATGGAGATGAGCAGTCTCAGCAGCAGACAGTTGCTTCTATTTTCCAGGAGGGCTGAGGGGAAAAGCTGGCGCAATTCAACAGAGGGAGGAAATGGGAACTGAAGCCAAGGCTCACAGGACAAAGAGGTAGGTGTGTGGCGGTAGGAAAATAGCATCAACATGAAGCCTGGCTTGCTCTGGTCCTGGACTCCTCCCCAGGTCTAACTTGTAGACCTTGTAACTTGTCCCTTGTACAGTTTCTTCTTCTCCATCCTAGGTCCTAAATGTTTCCCAAGCCCGGGTCACACCTCAAAGCCTCTGCAACTTTTGAGCAGAGCTGAACCGAGCACAGCATGTGAACTTTGACACCAAGAAGGGTCTCGCTGGCAATCTTTCTATATTTTAAATTTGTCCAAAGAGATTTCAAATTATGCAAGTCGTCTATAATGGCTTATGTTTCTCAATGGTCAGCTTCCTTCATCAATCTAACTTCTCATATTATGTTACCTTAACTTAGGGATATATGATACGCATGGTTATCCTGTCTGATGGAATCTGGTGTTTAAGGGTCAGTGAGTATGATTCACTTTAAAAAAAAAAATCATGTTATTGTTTATACCACCAGCTCTTACGTTTTTCTATTTATTTAACAAAAAGTATGTCTTAGGATAAGAACACTTAATAATAAGATATATTTTTGTTGTTTAGCTTTGATGTTCACAAAGCTTATAAATAGCCTTGAGCCCTCAAATGTTATATCCCTGTAAATTATTGCATGTAGCTTGAAATCACACCCTAGGCCAGTGGTTCTCAACCTATGGCTCTCAACCCCGCGGGGGTGTCCCACACCAGAGAGCCTGCATATCAGATGTTTACATTACAGTTGGTAACAGTCACCAAATTACAGTTATAAAGTAACAACGAAAGTAATTTCATGGTTGGGGGTCACTACACCAGGAGGAACAATAGTAATGTGTCACCGCATTGGGAAGGTTGAGAACCACTGTCTTTGAATAAACCAAGCACACAGAGAATCGGGGAGTGAGGCGCAACAGGTAAGATGAAAGACCACGTGTCCCATAAAGGGAATGTTTGCTCATTTGCTCACAATGTGATGTATGCCACGTGCCTGCTTCCGACAAAGCACAATGTCAGATGTAAGGGTGGACACAGAAGTAAGGCCAGGATGCAACTTTGAAGATGTGTTTAGCCTTGTCAGAAAGAAACAGGATCATAAATGTTAGTCCATAATCTTTTTTTATCCCCTCACTGGTATGTGGGCGAGAGAAACCCCACTAGCAGAAGGCAAAGCTTGCCTTGGGTTGGTCAAGAACAAACAGGAGCCCTTGAACTTGCCCCAGGAATATCGGTCAATTCATGGTCTGTGAATTTGGGCAAAAGACACATTTCTCATTTGTAAGGAGGATAACAACTCTGACATCATACTCATTGCATGTCTTGTAAGTCCATGGGAGTTATTAAAGATTTTGTTAAGCATAACAGGCTGTAATGTAGCTAATAGCTTTATTAAGTAGGCTATAAACTATAGCTTGATAAAATTATAAATGAACACATCTTTTATAGCTACAGAATTACTGCAGATCACTCATTCAAATGGGTCACCTGGCTCCACTTCCAGAAAGTTCTTGGAACTTCTTGGATTGTCAGGCTGAGGCTTGAAGAAGGAGAAACCTCTGGATTCCTGAGCCATGGTAACCTGAGGGGATCCAGGTGCTTGGGAGTTCTCGTTTCTGCTTGCCCGTGGAGGAGGTTGCTCTGCCTATGGTACCTCACTAGGAAGGAGGGAGGAGGAGTGCAGGAGGATGGGATGGAAGATGTTTGGACAAGAGGGTAAGAAGATGAGGAGGCATGCTTCCCTCTGATACATTGCCTAAGGTCAGTCTCTTCACACCTGCCTGTTACGGAGGTCTGTCCCTCCTCTCTTCCTTTGGTCATAAGGGAGAGCTGGAGCCCGAGAGGTCACCACCTTCTTCCTTCTGTCCTCCCAAATTGGTTTCTTCTCTTGGCTCTGAGAATTCTAAAGCTGCTGGAGTGAGTGGGAAGCAAGAATAGGTTCTGGAGGGGACCACCAGCAGGGCACTTCGGTTCCAGCTGGAGCTGTTCTCCTGTCCAGGCATCTAGCGTCTTTCAGTTCTCCACTTTCATCAGGACCATACCTCAGCAAGTCTGTTCCTTGTTCTCTGTTTCTCTTTACAAAGGCTTCATCTTCTGAGCTATTGTTGAAATCAACAATCCCACCAAAACAAACGGACAAACAAGCAGAGAAACCCCCATCAAAGTTGAGTTTGAGATGCATTTCTGGTTGATTTCTGTAGGAACTGACGGCTGCTGAAGTACAGGAACCTTTAGACACTAAAGACAGAATAGACACTCGATCCCGAAGCCCTGGCAGGAGAGGAGATATCCTAAAGAGAGACACTTCCGTGTCCCCACCTATTAGCTTTCAAACTATTGGGACAACGGACCTCAAAAAATTAAAATTTCCTCAGGAATTTCATGCTGGGGGAAGAAAAAAAGGTTGAAGCCCCAGCTCTAGTCAGAGAAGAGACTTGCTTTTCACACAGCCCTGAGAACTTACTGCACAGTTAAATTAGCATGCGCATATTGTCTTAGTTGGAGGTTTTTATTGCTGCAATGAAACACCATGACCAAAAAGCAAATTGAAGAGGAAAAGGGCTTATTTGGCTGACACTTCCATATTGTGGCTCATCGTTGAAGGAAGTCAAGAATTCAAACAGGTCAGGAATGTGCAGGCAGGAGCTGATGCAGAGACCATGGAGGGGTGGTGCTTACCGGCTTGATCCCATGGCTTGCTCAGGCTGCTTTCTTAGAGAACCCAGGACCACCAGCCCAGGGATGGCATCATTCACAGTGGGCTGGGTCCTCCCCCATCAATCGCTAATTAAGAAAATGCCCTACAGGCCTGCCTACAACCTGATCTTACAGAGGCTTTTTCTTTAAATTGAGGTTCCCTCCTCCCAGATGACTCCCGCTTGTGTCAAGCTGACAGAAAACTATCCGGCACAATTGACCCCTTGTCAGCTTGACACACAAACACATCACCATTAAACAACAACCTTTCCTTTCTCATCCATCCCCAGGATCTCACATTAAAACTACAAATAACTTTAAAAAGCCCACGGAATTTACAAATTCAAATACATTAAAAGTTTAGTCTCCTTTAAAATCCAAAGTCTTTTAAACGTCAAAATCTCTCAACTGTTGGTTACCGTAAATAAAAAACAAATTAAATATTTTCTTACTTCAAGAGGGAAGAACCAGGGCACAGTCACAATCAGATCAAAGCAAAGCCAAACTCCAAAGGTGTAAATACTCAGCATCCAATAGGTAGGATTCACTTACGGTCTTCTGGGCCCTTCCAAGGGGCTGGGGTCACTTCTCCAGCTCTGCCCTCTGCAGCACACACAGCTTGTCTTCTAGGCTCCGGCTGGTTCCACTCCAGGGCTGCTGCTGTTCTTGGCAGTCATCCCATAATACTAGCATCTCCAAAATGCTGGGCTCCTCTGCTGCAATTGGGCTTCACTTTCTCCAGTGGCCTCTCACAGTCTCTCTTCCTAATGCCAAGCCTCAACTTCTGCATGACTCCTTCGATCCTGGGTCTTTAACTGCCAGTGGAGCTGCACCTTCACCAATGGCCCCCGGCCTCTCAGAGTGCCAAGTCCCAGCTGTTCTCCACGACTCCTTCATTCCTTCAAATCCGGTGTCACCTGGGTGACTTATACTACCAAGTTCAGCTGCCAGCACAAGGCACAACCTTGTGGAACTCTGGAACACAGCTTGTGTGTACTGACTCTCAGGAAACAGTTACCAGAAGATTTCACCTCAGCAATGCTGGTCTCTTCTTAATGGCTGCTAATTTCTCAGCTCTAGCTGACCAGCATCGACTATCCCAGCAAAGCAAAGGTTTCACTTTAGTAGTTCTGGTATCTTGTTAATTATAGCTGATTCTTCAGCCCCAGATAACCAGAACCACAGAATCCTAATTCAAAATAACTAATGGCTCCGATGGAGTCTTTAAACTTCACTCTGAGACCTCATAAGCCAGACCTCCATCTTCTGCCTTGCCTTCTTATCTTCCAAGCTCCCACAGAATAGCTCACCAAGCATGGAATACTCAATGGCTTTTCTTGCACAAAGTTTCAAAGTCCTTCTACAATCCTCTCCAAAACATGGTCAGGTCTGTCAAGTCATACCCCACAATCCTGTACCACAACCCTGGTACCAACTTGTCTTGGAGTTTCTATGGCTGCAGTGAAATACCATGACCAAAAAGCAAGTTGGGGAGAAAAGGGTTTATTTGGCTTGTACTTCCACATCACTGTTCATCATTGATGGAAGTCAGGACAAGGGACTCAAACAGGGCAGGAACGTGGAGGCAGGAGCTGATGCATAATGGGTAATTTTAAAAGAAGCAAGTTCAAGTCTTATTTGTGTATGGCCCTTCCCTGTGCTCATTCTGTGGAAGAACCTTGGGGAGTGTCATGCTCATACTCTTTCTCTGTTTCCCTTCTGTGGTGGCCCTGGTGGCACTTTCCAAAGGGAAGTCCACCAGAGGCAAACCTGCTAAGACGCCAAACGAATGTTTGAAATATTGGTGTCTGTGTCTCCGCTACATATTTGGCATTGATTTCAAGTAGGAAAAGGTTACAGACTGTAACTGCAAATGAAAGCAGGCTACGTGAGAATATTTAATCAAACCCATGGAGAACCTTTTTTTTTTTTTTTGAGTTTTTGCCAAAAAAAAGATGATCATGTATTACAAATCCATATTCGCTTTTTAATTGGGAGGCAGTGCCTTGTTTGCATTGACTTTTCTGTAGGTCTAGTGATCAAGAGCTTCTCTGCCTCTTGCTGACAATTGTCACAAAATGTGGTTGTATTTGACGACAAAAAATATTCATCCAATTAATCTCACCTAAAAGGCTTTCTTCTTTAGTGGTGTTAGTTGTTATTTTAAAATTTTATGCCATAATTTTATTTCACCCAACTATATACTGACACAAATTACAATGATAAGTCAATCTGGAG